AGAGACCAGTGCTCAGACCCCCCCCAGGGCTCTGTGCTCAGACCCCCCCCCCAGAGACCAGTGCTCAGACCCCCCCCAGCGCTCTGTTCTCAGACCCCTTCCATCGTCCCCAGAGCCCTGTGCTCAGACCCACCCATGCTTGTTCTTTTGTTTTTCATAAGAACAAGGTTGTCTTTTGCATCTGTCCTTACAAAGGTGTTGCCTTCCTTTCAATTAAATCAAGATTTTCCCCCTCTGAGTTTCTGCCCAAGGCCAGCAGAGAGCGGACCTGACTTACTAGCTTTCCACAGGGCCCTAAGGAGCAATCAGAAGAGAGCTAAGCTTTTTTTCAAATGAAGATTTGGGCAGGGATTTGCAAAAGAACCTCAGAGGGTTCCCGCTGCCCGGCTCCTACTGACTTCAGTGAGATTGGAATGCTGCACTCCCAGTGACTCCATTGAAATCCCTTTGTTAGTGTAAGATTCCTTATCCTCACCTTGGGCCAAAAGGGGTAAAATCAGGTGGAAGGATTCTAGCAGGTGGCCATCCAGTACTCTAGGGTGACCAGATGTCAGGATTTTATAGGGACAGTCCCAATTTTGGGGTCTTTTTCCTATATACCCCCTACCCCCATCCTGATTTTTCACATTTGCTGTCTGGTCGCCCTACAGTATTCCTTCCATGTCTTCCCTAAGCACCACAGGATGAATGTCTGCAGCATTGTGTGGTTGGGTGCTTAGCCCGGAAAATGCTGAGGTGGAATGGATGGGACACACATTTTGTTTCAGCACCCTCTACTGTGGTGAGCACAGTCTCTGTCTTCTCACCTGTGTTATCTGAGGCTCAGCTGTTATTTAGAACCACCTGCTCAGTGCTGGAGCAGCTAATGTCACCAAAAACTACATTGTTTCTTTTGTGTTTTCTGTGACTTGGCTGACCAGCCCAGATCCCTATGCAGGAGGTCAGTTAAATGGGGAATGTGCTACAGAGGCCTTTCCCTTTGTATTGAAGTCAGAGTGGGCTAATCAAATTCATTCCCAGCTATAGAACTCTTACAGGGAAAGATGCAAAAACCTGTGCTACCACAACAGAGCCCCAAGAAACAGGCCAACATGCCTGGGAACAAGTTAATGCTGAGGGTGGGTTTTTGGTTCAGTACCTTGGTGGTGGTGGTATTTCCCCTCTTCATCTCTCTAATTGTGTGTACTTTGTTTATTTGCAGACTATCACATCACATACTATTCTCGGTAGTCCCCAGCTTTGAGAACTTCATGTGGCTTCCCCAGCTCTGGGAGTGTCACAAATAGGCGGGTTCAAATCAGTGATTTGGCAGACAGGCAAGAAGAGCCAGCATAAATGTTGCACACATGCACCCTTATTGGTGCTTCTCTCTTCTCCCTCCCCCTGACCTTTCCTCCACTATGCAGCCAGTAGCTGCTGGAAACCCAACCCCAGAGGGAGGGGAAACAAGAAGCGTTCCTTCCTGAGCTACTGAAGGGATCCTGCGATTAAATGCAGACACAGTCGTGGACTGAGTATTGAACCCAGGGCAGGTCTGAACACCAGCAATTGGACTAACCCACTCTCATGTTTTGCAGGGTCAGGCTTGTCAGTTGCTTACCTACGTGGAGCCCTGGCACCAATCACAAGCTGTGGAAGCTGGGCTGCTTCCTGCCTCAGTGCCCAAAGTTGAGCTGTAGAGGAACCAAGATGTCTGCCGGTCAGAGTCAGAAAGCTGAGACCTGGGACAAATGCACCTTACTAGAGCTGAAGGTGCCCTTTGCCAGGACTGAAATTGGGACCTTTTTCCAAGAGCAACCCAGGATTGGAAACCAGTACCTAGAAGATGCTTTTCTTCAGCGTTACTTGAAAACACACCTGCCATTCCAGGTTTGACCTGTGTGTGTATGTGTTGTGTGTGCAGTACAACCCCCTATTGCTGAGACTGTGGACACCTTTTCAGTCTGTGGGCATTGCAGAGCATAGGTGCTGGAATTTGCAGTGCTGGGAGTGCTGCTCCACCCACTGGCTTGAAGTGGTTTCCATTATATTGAGGGTTTACAGTTTGGTTCAATGGCTCTCAGCACCCACACTTAGGGTGACCAGATGGGATGAAGAAAATATCGGGACACATGGGGGGGGAGTCCCGCCGGCAGAGCAAAAAAAAAGAAAAGAAAGTGGAGTCCTGCTGGCAGAGCAAAAGCAAACAACCAGGAGTGCGAAATATCGGGACAGTCCTGATTTTATCGGGACGTCTGGTCACCCTACCCCCACTATCCAAATTGTTCCAGCTCTCCTGCTGCAGAGTGAAAACCCTGTATATCACCGATCCCTTAGCTCCTTTATTGCTGAACCATATATCATGCACAGGTGGATTACTGGTGCTTTCTGACTATCCATTCATTTGTCTTGAAGTTGTGATGAAAAATGGTGATGGGACATGAGCATGTTCCAGCAGAAGTGAAAAGGGTTTAACAGAGTCTTTTGGGTAGGTTTGGGTGAGACATGACTCCTCTGTTCTGTTAGGCTATTAATGCCTTCACTGCATGCCAAGCATGGAGTAAACAATCAGGGGCTAAGTTAACCCATGGTAGCCTAACCCAGGATGACCACATTGTTGTGTTGTCATGCCCCCCATCAGCACTGGTGCTGCATCTGGCTCTGACAAACAACGCAGCTATCTGGGCATGTATCCCAGGGTTCACAGCACCACATCTCTCTGTGCTGCTGTATGCTCACATTTGCAGGATGTTGTGGGACAATTTGTCTGCCTGCTCTGGTAGCTGCAGGCTCCTGCACAGACTTGGTAGTGGACATTGTTGTAAAAAAAATATATGGAGATATACCTATCTCATAGAACTGGAAGGGACCCCAAAAGGTCATTGAGTCTGGCCCTGTGCCTTCACTAGTAGGACCCAAGTACTGATTTTGCCCCTAGATCCCCAAGGGGTCCCCTCAAGGATTGAACTTACAACCCTGGGTTTAGTAGGCTAATTCTCAAACCACTGAGCTATCCCTCCCCCCAGAAATATATATGGAGATATACCTATCTCATAGAGCTGGAAGGGACCCTGAAAGGTCATCAAGTCCAGCCCCCTGCCTTCACTAGCAGGACCAAGTACTGATTTTTGCCCCAGAGCCCCTCTCAAGGATTGAACTCACAACCCCAGGTTTAGCAGGCCAAGGCTCAAACCACCAAGCTATCCCTCTCCCCATGTCAAACACCAGAGTTGTGTGAAGCTGAAGAAATGACAAAGCAGAGGAGAAGCGATTGATTTCTGATCACAGGACTTATGGGGAGGGATTGGAAGACCATCATGTCTTGATTGTTATGACTCTGTTGTCACTGCAGTTACCTCAAGGTAGTAATACATGTAGATAATACTTAGTTCTGCCATGAGTGCAGGGGACTGGACTAGATGACCTAGCAAGGTCCCTTCCAGTCCTGTGATTCTATGTTAATTGCTACGCTGGGGTCTGATGTAGAGCTCAAGGAGAGGTGGCTACCTCACTGTATAGGACTGATAGAGGAGAGCAGATGTGTGAACACAAAGAGTGTTAAGGGGAAGATCCACAGCTGGGCCTGAGTTAAGTCTGCATTGAAGTGAAAATTTCCAGGTTTGCCTGCAAACCCTGCTAAGCCATTCTGTTTCTCTTGCTCTTAATTTAACTACACTTTGCGAGCAGGGCACTTAAGGAAGTTCCCCTCAGGAGGAAGAATGTGTCCATTTCAGTCTGCCACTGGAATGAATGATCAGGAGTTCTTGTGTCTGCCCTCCTGCAATATCAGTCACTAGGCTTTGTGTTTGCCCTTAGACAATAAGGCCAGAGCTTGGCATTGTATGGGGTCACTGCAGATGGGGGCTGGATTTGCAGACCTTATGCAGGGTGATCGATGTTCTCTTTGTATCATTGAGCTCAGCTCTGTAGGAATCCCCAGTGAAGTTTGGGGATGGGACAGAGAAGGAATAGGGAGTGTGGCTTATTCCCCCTATGAAAGGGGGCATGCACTGGCTCCACAGGCTATTGTAGTTTTTCAGCTATTGGGGGCCAGATCCTTCCATTGTTACCCATGCTGAGTAGCACTTGACTCTGATTTGTTCCACTGCAAGTCATCTTATTGCTTCTAAAGCTAGGTATTACTCAGGGTGAAAAGGGTGGGAGAATCTGGCCCTCAGTGATTGATCTGAAGCTCTTTCTGTCACTGTTTGGTCTATTCTTTCGCTTGACCCTGCCATAAAGCCATAGTCCTGTGTCTGTAACAGTGTAATGCCTGCTTTGGGGATTTGCTTTTTTGACAGCTGTGCCTGTTGCTAAAGAGAAGGATGAGGTGTCACAAAGACAGCATTGCAACAATGCTGCCAGATCAGGTGTATGAACAGGGCCTGAGAAGGAGGATGCCCTGGTTAAACATGAACACCTTCTTTACTGGCACCTGTGGCAAGAATATTTTGAAGCCCCCCAAAGAGCTGATGGATTCATGCTTTCATTCTGATGTGTGTCCCCTGGTGTGAGAGCTCTCCTCTGAAGAGAGAAAGTGGCTGGGACAGTATCCAGCAAATCGCTGCAAGATATTTCATACAGTTACATATTTGGCCACAGAGAGGCAGTGTTGTCCCACCATTGAAAGGGAAGATCCAAGCTTAAAGACCCCTTACTTAATGCAACAGGGGTCTGGTGATTGCTGCATGAGACAGGAAATTGTACAGGAGTGTGTGAAGCTCTGCACGTGCCATCCAAATACCACACTGGAGCCTGAGTCTCCATGCAGCTGTGTTCAGAGGTGATTAACAAAGAATGCTCTTAGGGTGGTGGTGGTGGTGGAAGATCTGTTGATTCCA